TGTGACTTAAATTTTACTAGATTCCATATCCAAGTAACTACATGCAGTATTTGCCTGGCTTATTTCATTTAATAATGTCCTCCAGGTTTCTCCATATTGTCACCAGTGACAGAATTTCATCTTTTTAAAGGTCAAATATTACTCCATTATATATGTGTACACACATGTACACTGTGTAAGAACATGTATATGTGTATACATGCATACACATACATGCTAGGATAGACATGTTGATTCCTTCTTTTGGCTGTTTGAATAGTGCTGCTGGAATGAAAATGGGAGTAGAGATGTTTCTTGAACATACTGACTTCATTTCCTTTATATGCATGCTCTAAGTGAGATTGCTGAGTTCATATGGGTATTTTTTTTATTTTTTGAGGAACCTCCTTACTCTTCTCCATTACAATTTACATTCCTATCAAAGTATACACATCCTTACCAGCACTTACCTTTTATTGTTTTTTTTTTTTTTTGGTCGGTTGTGGGGGCTGAACTCTGGGCCTGGGCACTGTCTCTCAGCTCTTCAGCTCAAGGCTAGTGCCCTACCACTTGAGCTACAGCGCCACTTCCGGCTTTTTTCTGATTATGTGGTGCTGAGGAATTGAACCCAGGGCCTCATGCATGCAAGGCAAGCACTCTACCACTGAGCCAACTTCCCAGCCCCCCTTTTATTGTTTTTATGGTTGCTATTCTGGCAAGTGTAAGTAAGATCTCATTGTGGTTTGATTTGTACTTCCTTTATTAGTAGTATATTTTATGTCTTTAGGCACTTCCTGTTTTTAAATTTATTGCATAAGTGTAACTGTAAAAAAAAAACCAACACAACAGTAAAATTCCTACCACCAGCATTAATACTCAACTATTCTCAATACTATGTTTCTTTTTCAATTATATGTTCCTTTCTGAGGACTGGAAGAAGAGTGGGGGATGGTGGGGAGGGAGGGAAAGAGGGAGGGAGAAAAAGAGGGAGGAAAGGAGAGGGAGGGAGAGAGGGAGAGGGAGAAAAGAGGGAGAAGGAGAGAGAGAGATAATGTAGAATTTCTATTTGACTTCTTCCATCCCAATCTAATAAATGACTGTAGAGAGAGAGAGAGAGAGAGTGAAGAAGTACATGGAAAGGAAGAAGGAAGGAAGAGAATCCTTAATTTAATGATAGACCCACAAGTTTTCCTGTTGGATGATAGTTATGATGAAATGTCTGTTATCTCCTAGGTTTTATTGTGGCCTTTGCCAAGATGACTTCATTCTAAAGAATTGGCATTAAGAAAATGTTTTATTGTTTAATGGTCTTTATCTTCATTTTGTAAGAATAATTACATCCTTTCTCCATTGAGTAATTTAATATGATGCAACTAAAGCATCTAAATGCCCAAATGTTGTAAACATCTACAGTATTCATTGAAAAAGCAAATTTAATAACCACAGTTTCTACATGTTAATAATGACAGTTTAGTCCTTATTATGCCAAAATTTCCAAAGGACTTAGTGGTAGATGTGTAGCAGGGGGTATCTTTGCTCCTCCTCATAGCTCAGAGTCAGATTTTTGGATTAGTAGCTGCTCCTGGCTCCCAACAGACTTTACAGTGGGTTTGGTGCAACTAAGCCTGGCTAGGTTGTGAATCCTAGTATTACCTTTTGATGAATTAAGTATCAGAAAAAGATACTTAATCCTTAACTTCCTGGCTAGTACACTAAATGATATTACTAGAAATTTAGGGAATCTAAGTTGACTTCAGTCCTTGCCTTTGGCAAGAGAATTCCAACAAGATGTGAACATAGTAAAGGTGATAGGAAAGTTTATTAGAGAAGAAATATGGCAGAGAAAGAGAGTACATGGCATAGTCTATGCCACAGGAAGACAGACCTTTCGCCCCACCTCAGCCAACTTGCACCATCTTCCTTGTTGCAGAGATTGATCTTGGGTTAAATAGGGAGGATATAAATCCTTGAAGAAGGCTTTCTGATCTGTAGGTCTCCTTTCTATTTCCCTGTAAGTCCTTGACACCAAAGATGTAAAGCCCCACTGGGTGCCAGTGGCTCCCATCCTAATCCTAGCTACTCAGGAAGTTTAGCTACTAATCCAGTGCCAGCCTGGGCAGGAAAGTCCACGAGACTCTTATCTTAGTTAACCACCAGAGAACTGGAAGTAGCACTGTGGCTCAAAATGATAGAGTGATAGCCTTGAATGAAAAAGCTCAGGGACAGTGCCCAGGTCCTGAATTCAAGCCCCACGACTGACAAAAAAAAAAAAAAGAAAAGAAAAGAAAGAAAGAAAGAAAAAGGGAAAAAAGAGATTTAGAGCCCCATCTTTATTTCATCATTCTTTTGTCCTTCCTACTTTATCGTTCTTCTTTTCTTCTTCTGCTGCTGTTCATGGGGCCTGAACTCAGGGCTACTGTCCATGAACTTCTTTTGCTCAAGGCAGTGTTCTAGCACTTGAGCCACTTCTGGCTTTTTCTGAGTAGTTTATTGGAGATAAGAATGTCATGAGGTCTGGGAAGGTGGCTCAGTGGTAGAGTGTTTCCCTTGCATGCATGAAGCCCTGGGTTTGATTCCTCAATACCACATAAACAGTAAAAGCCAGAAGTGGCTTGATAACTATAGCCTTGAACTGAAGAGCTCAGGGACAGCACCCAGGCCCAGAATTCAAGATCCAAAACTGATCAAGAAAAAAAAAAAAAAGAATGTCATAAATTTTCCTGTCCTGGCTAGCTTCGAATCAGCCTCCTTTAGTAGCTAGGATTACAGAGGTTAGCTACTGATACCTGGCTTCTTCATTCTTTTGTAGCCCCCTGCCCCTGTTTTGTTGTCAGGCAGGTTTTAGTTTATAAGCTTATCCTGCCATCTGCAAGTTGTATAGGCACAGTTCCCCGATTGCCTGCCTTTCTACTGACTCCTGCCATTAGCACCAGGCTGCTTCAGTCTCAGCATCCATCCTCCTACGTCCATTTTCTATAGTGTAGAGAGCTACAACTAGGTAACTACTTCTAGGATCCTTTGTTATCAGAGAGTCCTCCCACCAACCCTATATTGCTGCAATCAGTCAGCCTTGACTCTTCCAGAGGTTTTTGTGTTTGTGAAATAAATCCAGAGTTTTCCTTTTCCCATAATCTTCAGGGTGGGCTTCAGTGTTGGAACATAAGGGAGACGGGTATCTGGTTTTTTTCCCCCTTACAACTTATATTTCCTGTTATAAGTAATCTAAATTCTGTTTCATTTCCTTGTCATTTAAATCATTCTAACCTTTACAATTGATGCATAGTTATCTGTACTCATTCTTTTTTTCTCATAATACAAATGAATACATCATTTCTATCGATGTTAAAAGTGATACATCATTGGATCTGATCTGTTTCTCTTCAGTATGATTCTTGTCTTCTGATTTCTTGTTGTTGTTATTCTTGTGATGTTTGGGATCAAACTCAAGGCATTTTGCAAACGAACAGTAGGCAAGCACTTTACCCAAAGCTACATCCTCAACCTTCCAATTTCATTTTGTGGTTGTTGTTGGTACTGGGATTTGAACTCAAGGCTTCATGCCTTCTTGGCAAGCATTCTACAGCTTGAACTCTATCCTTACCCACCCCCCATATTCTTTTTGCTTTAGTTTCCTCTTGAGGTATTATGCTTTTGGTAGCCTCGGATTTCAATCATCCGACTTCCACCTCCTGACTAGATAGATGGTTGGTGTGTGGCACATTACCTTCTTCTGATTTCTCAAAGTTATATTCCTAGTCAAAACATATTAACAATGTTTTCTATAAGTTTTTATAGAGAAATGCAAATTTCTCTATAAAACATATTTTGTCAAAAGGCTGTTCTTCAGTTGCCAACATTATCAGTGCAGATGCATTAAATTGTAAGTTCAGAAAACTCAGTTCAGGATGACTTATAGAAAGTATATGTAAAAAAAAAAAGAGAAAGTATATGTATTGGCAACAGTCCATCCTCTAAATTGTTTTGCTTTCACAACTCAGTGATGTCATTAAGAATTTGGTTTTCCGGGCGGGGGGGATGGGAAGGGGAAACAAAGGAGGAGGCTACAATGCTTGATAAGAAATGTACTCATTATCTTGCCCATGTAATTGTAGCCCTCTGTACAGTATTTTCACAATAAAAAAAAAGAATTTGGTTTTCTTGCTGG